TATCATACTAGATACATTTGAAAGTTCTGTTATAATGCTACTCTGTGCGGTCTAATAAAACACACAACATATTAAAGCGTCTTTGGTGTTTCCATGTTTTCTACAAAACAAAACTGGAAATCGAGGGGTTATGAAGTCATTGGCAGGCGACACAATGACACTATGGACACGGTCCGTGTCACTAGTTAAAATTGCTTATTTCTCTGGATTTAAACATTATTTTAAACATTAAAACATTTGGGATAATGTAAGTACACAAGTCAGCAAAATATATAACACTGTTCTAGTGGTTTTTGGATATTTTAATAAAAAAATCTTACTTATTGTGCCTTTAAGGTGTTTACATGAGGGCTTTTTAGTCCAATTGAGCCATCAATCCGTTTACTAACAGATTATTTGGTTGCATGGTTGCATTGAGGATTTCAGAAAAGCATCCATTCTAAAGTAAGAATGAAATTGCAGTACGCCTCACAAGGTATAGCTGTCAATTTTATAATGTAACTTTTTTGAAACGAGACGTGGTCCATGACGTATACAGATGACAATTGTAATCTTTAGTGGGCGCAGCCTTTGAAATAAGACAGTGGTGAAGCAGCAGTCATGATAGATACTGTAAAGCGAGTCTGTGTTTCTTCCACAAGGTATGTTTCGGCCATGACTACACCCAGCTGTCTGTCCCCCGCGGGGCTTCTCTCTCCAGCGACGCCCTCCTCGCCTCCCTCCGAGATGTCGGCTCCTCTGTCCAGCCTGGCGACCTCCGTTCCTTCCATGGCAGCGAGTCCCTCGGGGGAGGAGGAGCGCCCCCTGCTGTTCCGGACCCCGCCAATCCTGCGTGACAAATCCGGTCTGAATCAGTCAGGCCATAACCTCCGCAACTTGGCTCACTACAATCACGGCCTGGAGCTGCCCAGCCCTGCGGCCAGCCCTCTGCACATTGTGGAGCAGGAGGAGAGTGCACAGCAGTACCAAAGCACAGCCGCAGCGTCCCCCCCACACAGCCCCACTGCAGGCCACCGTAGCTCAAGAACTCAGCCGAGTGGCCAGACAGCGCTGGAGCCGGTCAGCGGCAGTAACTCAGAGAGCAGCAGCTCGGAGAGCGAGACTGAGGAGGACACTCCGTTTCTGGGCTTACAGAACTCTCTGGCCGCTGGATCAGTTGTTGTGGACGGGCTGGAGGGCAGCAGAACTAACCCCGCGCTGCACCTCTCGCCGCAACACGACCTGCAGAGCAGACTGACGGCCGTCATGGCCAACCAAGATCCTATAGCTGTGTGAAAGATGCATCGAAGAAACAAATCACCACTAAACCTTTATTTTCTATAATTAAGTATTGCAAAAAAAAAACGTCAACTTTTATTTTAGTGATGTAGTGAAACAAAGACTTTTATATATGTGTGTACAACGTTTGCGTCATGGAAAAAAAGTGCCATTCACATGTAGCTGAGGTCACAGTATTTCAATGGCAGAAAAAATATAATCAATGGTGCCTTTTAATTTACGTTTGAAGAAAAGAGGACTGCATCATGACACTGGGCCATATATTCATGACTTTAAGGCAACAAAATAAATTCTGTGACTGAAAAAAAAAAATTTAATTCCACCAGCACTCCATGTCGGAATTCTTGCGATCTGATTTAAGTGTAAAAAAGCATCATGGTCTCTTAACCCAGTGGCTTTCCTGTCGACCCACCACTTTTCACATTTTATATGTCTCTCCTATTTAACACACCTGATTCAGGTCATCAGCTCCATGAACTGAACTGTGTCAGATAAGAGAGACATACAATATGTGCAGTGCTGTGGCTCACCGGGACCAGGATTGAAAACCACTGACCGTACTGTGGCAAGAATGTTTGAGTTTAATTACACTGATAATTATTTATGCATTTTGATTTAAAATATGAAGTGTGGCTGCTGCAAACTGAAAACAAGACAATTCAAAAGCTATATAAATTAAGAATAAATGCTAAAAAAAATACTCACAGGAAGCAAATCTTCACGTACAATCAAATTAATCAAAATATTCTGGTTGTCATGTATTGCAAACATTACTTTTATGAGACAGACATTAGATCTGATTGCTTTTTTCATAAAAACGTTTCGATTTATTACTGAATGACTGAATATATGGCTCACTTTTGTCGATCATGCTCATTGGCTTATCAAGCAATGCATTGTGGGAAAATTACAGCACCAGTTTTATGATACTGACATCGTTTTTATTCCTATATTTTATTTTATTGGTTATTGTCCAAATCATTTTTTTTACATTTGTCCTTTGCTATCCATGTAGAATGTTACATTATATTCAAAGTGTTCCTTTGTGTCATGTTATTTTTCATCATGTTTATGTGCATATGTGTGATCATTTAAAGAACAAATCACCTGTTGTACAGTATTTTACTATGTTTGCATCACCAGATTACTACAGTAACTTATGTATTCACAAGGTTTTACTGAAAATAGCCGCTAATAGTCTATCCAGCTTGCTAAACAGAAGAACTGGTTACACAAACAACACTTTTAACCTAGAGCTTACTATAAAGCTCACGGCTCTAGTGCGTGAAGGCCTTTTCCCCTAAGTTTTCATTTTAATGAAATGTGGCCCATTTTATTGTATTTATTTTCTTTATTTATTTGTTAATTAATTATTTATTTATTTATTACCTGGGCCTTATGGAATCTAGCATCTATAAATCTATATTTTAATAGCAATGATAATAAGAGATATTTGCAGTCTTTGGGTACAACAACAAAACCTTATTTTTAGTGTTTTTTTTTTCCTCATCGCTCCATAATATATTTGTGTGCTGTTTTGCCATTTAGGCCTAGACTCTGTTATTCAAACTCTCATTCAAAAACAATAAATGTTCACCATGACAAATATCCATGAACCTGATTATACAATTTAAATGAGCTGAACTGCATCTAGGACACTTGAAAACAGCCCTTGTTATGTTGCTTTTAATGCAAGCCTTTATGTAACTATTCAGGCCACCTTGAGATGTTTGATTTTAGATATGATCCAATATGGCTGTTTTAGGCACCTTTAAACACCATCACCTCTTCCATCATCAAAATTAGTTTTGTTTTCAAAAATGGCTGATCATTTACTGTTTGGATGAAATAGTCTATTACCTTTTGCAGAAATGTACAAGTTAAGGTATAAAGAAGTGTGATCTCTAAATGCATCAGTGTTCCAGCATAGCAGATTTTCGGCTCCACATTGCCAATGAAGATAAAGGAGGAACAGAAAATGTCCAAAAAAATGTCATTCTGATAGCTGCATGAGCACAGGAGGACAAACACAGGCATGCCTTGCATCACATGCAAACAAGCATGGGCAGAGATGTCGATCAGGACATGACCACACTAAATGTTCATTTTCATCTGCTCTTGTGTGAACAACTCTATAAAACGTCTGGACAATATGTATGATAGCTTCACGTTGTGTTGGATCTCTTTATTTTTGCAATGTCTTATTCTCTAAGCTGTTTAAATAAATTAACGGTGTTAGCAGGTGTTGATGGCACACTCAAAGACATTTGATTCACTCTTGAGTGTTTGCATTTGCATGAATGTATCTGGTACCTTCTTTAATCTGTGATTTCTGGCTGCACACTCAATTTTCAGTTCAGTTTTCACAAAACTGATGAAATGCATTTTGAAACAACAAATTTGCTGGTGAAAATGCCAAACAAGAGGCAAAGCTGAACTTCTGCAACACTTTTGTATACTGACATAAAGCATTGTATGTATCATTACCACAATAGTGGGGGTGTCCACTACACAAATGTTCTCTGCCTTTCTGATTCCTACCCCAGTGTGTTTGGACTGATGCCTGCAACTTTTTTTTTCATTACACTCTCGCTTACCTCTACACAATCTAACCTGATATACAAGTTAAGTTAGATTTCAGCAATGTACTTTTACTTGGACTGGCCGTCTGTCCAGAATGTTTCCCTGCCTACAGCCTGTGACAAGTTTGATGGATGGATGGACAGACATTGACTTAATAGAATGCCAAGCCACTGAAAACCATTAGTGCTCTTTATACATAATGATTTTGTTCGTAATATCCACTATAGTTAAATTTTTTTGTTTTTTGCTCACAAGGAAGATTAAAATGTTAATTACCAAGCAAAATCCTACATTAGTTGTACAGTAAAAAAAAAACGGGTACAGCCTGTTTCTGGATAGTCTGTCTTTCTGAAGGTTATGATGCATTGAGTTAAATTGATGGTTTGCAGGTAAACCAACTGTTGAACTGTTGACCCACACCCTCAAACAAAGGATGTTAACAAAGGATGTTAATGGCACGTCTGGTACGTGTGGCATTTATGAGAACAATTCCATTCTTGCATTTTGCCAGAAACAGGAAGAACCCAAAAATTCCCTGAGATAGAATTTGTGCACAATTGATCATGGGCCAAGATAAATAGTTTACATAAAGACATTTATTATTGCGTTTCTAGAAATGGCAAGTACCATCTTTTTGTGGGTTGTGAAATTCATAGAACATCTATGAAGCTATGCTATCTACTGTTTTTACCCCAGAACAAGACTGCTCACTAAAAAAAGAAAAAACCTTTTAAAAAGACTTAAAAAAAATCCCACCAGTGATTTAATAATGTCAGCACTGTTGATCAGTGAGTGGATATGACATGACACGTCCTTAGTTGTTTGCTGTTTCAATTGGTTGTTGAGCTTATTTCTCTCATGACTTACAGTTCTGAAGTTACTCCTGCAACTGTTGAAGATACTCCCAGATGATGATGAGAACAATTTGCACCCTGTGACAGTAACACTGGCATGAGATCACGATTGGGCTCATCTGGCCAACTGTGGGGGATTGATTTGGAAACCTGTTTAAAAGCATTAATTATTCTTGCATTGTGTTTGGCGAACGCAAGTGGTGCAGAAATTACATGCTTCACTTTTAACTACCAAAAGCTATTCCTTAATGACATCATCCAGGAAGTGACCATTCTGGAGGCAAAACAACAGCACAAACCCCTGTATATATTAGCCATTTGATGGGTTTTGTGATGTTAGTCACTATCGCAGAATACATGAAAATTAACATTAAGTCGACATCCTCATGTAAGCCAAACCCCTTACTGAGCTAATTTCAGTCATTGCTTTAAACTTTCACAGTTTAAAGCTTCATAGTTTAAAAGGTTCTGCAACACAGAAATGTTCCTGCTACACTACATAAAACAAAGAATGAGGTTTTAACTGTCATGGGATAGAAACTCTTTAATGCCATCAGGTATGTGCTGTCAGATGTCTAAAATGTTTGAAATACCTTTGTCAACTTGGTCTGCCAGGATTACAATCATTTGGAGAAATAGTTATCTTAAAAATAAAAGTTCTCTCATCATTGACTCACCTTGGACTTTCTTTCTTCTGCAGAACTCAAACAAAGAATTTTAGAAGAATATCTCATATACAATGCAAGTGAATGTTGTGCATAAAGGCAGCATAAGTAATCAATACAAGTTCAGTGGTTTAATTCATGTCTTCTGAAGAGATCAAATCATCTGGGCTGAAAGCAACCCAAAAGGTGACTTATTTTATCTTGCCATGCAGTCTCTTGATTTTTGGTCTGATGGTCTGAAAATATGATTGTGATTAAATCATGTAAAAATGTATGCTCCTAAACTGCTTCAGCTCTATATTTCTTCTAGACCAGATTAAATGTCTAAATCAGGGTTGTTGTTTTTTTGTTTGATTGTTTTTTACTTGGGGTCTCGAGGTCCACTTTCCTGTAGCTCCAACCTTGATCAAACTCCTCTGCTTGTATCTTTCTAGTGATCCTGAAGGCCTTGTTTAGCATGTGTAGGTGTGTTTGGTTAGGGTTGGAAAGTGAGCCTCGAGGGCCAGAGCTAAGAACCCCTGGTCTAAATTATCCAAGCTAACAGTGTATATCAGTGGTTCCCAACCCTGGTCCTGGAGGCACCCCAACACTGCACATTTTGCATGTCTCCTT